CTGGCTTTTCATAAAGGATCCATTAACATATGCAAAGCTTCATACTGATTCAGACTTTGGTATGAAATCTGAGCTGCATTCTTTGCTGCTGTTTTCAGACAATGTTATTATGAGACTTCTGATTTCGTCTCGTTTTTTGGTAACACTATCTTGAGTAACTATTGATTTTAAACTTTGTTTCTCATTTAACAGATGAACTTGGCAGAGGTATTCAGCAACAGACACTGCAAACAGGCCACAATCATAATCTATTAACATAAAAATTATAATGTTAATTTTTTCTTCCATACATTTTTAATGTACTGAATTCCAAAATCGTAAAAGAGGTGAGACATTACTGTGTGTTGGGTTGTTGTACATTTAAAAAACAATATAAATGAAGAATGCTGTTAATATATATTTTTTTTTTTGCAATTTAAAAAGTAGATAAAATAACTTAATATACCTTGTTTTATTTAGCATTACATTTACATAATACATGATTTATTTTGCAATTTAAAAAGTAGATCAAAAAATGTCAGCTTATTTATTTAGCTATATTCACATAACACATCATTTATTTTGCAATTTAAAAAGTAGATCAAAAAACATCAGTTTATTTATTTAGCTATATTCACATAACACATTTATTTTGCAATTTAAAAAGTTGATTAAACATCTTCATTTAGTTTTATTTATTTAGCTTCTTTTTAGCCTAATGTACATACACTTTATTTTGCCATTTAAAAAGTTGATCAAATAACTCCATTTAGCTTATTTACTAAGCTCAATTTAGTTAGCTTTATTCAGCTTTATTTAACTTATTTTGCTGGCTTAATATTAATGAAATTCAATATTATCCTAAGTAAATAAAATTGGTTTAGTTTATTGAATCAACTATCAGAAACCAGATGAAACTATTTACCCAATATTATCCTAATTTAAGTGTTGACACAATATTTAGAAGTGTTGACACAATATTTAGAAGTGACCATCACAAGGTGTGCGTTATATTTTCATATACAATTTTGTATAAAACATATAACTATACTTATTGTTGAGTGTAAACATTATTTTATGTTTGTACGATTGACCTAGGTTGGTATTTTTACTTCAAAGGAAAAAAATTCAAATTGTTGGTGGATTACTACTCTGCATACTCACAGTTTTGTTGTTGAGGGCACTTTTCATTCACAAATGTGGTTCGTTCATTAACTGAAAGTTAAAACAAGAAAAAGTAAAAAGTAAATAACTTTTAATGAATTGTGCCAAACATACTTGTTAAATATAAAAACACACAGTCACCACATTGAAACAGTGCATTTTGATCACTGATATGTGAATTTGTTATGTGTTGAATGTTGTGTCATAATCTTTAATGGGCTTTAGGTGAGACTTTTTTCATACCTTCTTTTACTAACCTGCTGCCTGCCAAAAATGATGATTTCAAATAAAACAAAATTTTATTTTTGCCTAATTAGCGCACCCACCACTACAAAACCAGAGCCTTGCAGGCGTCAATGTTCCTATGCATGATACATGACTTTATCAGAAAATATAAGGTTGGGTCAAATTTGTGTGGTGGTTTACATTGGACAATTCAGGAGGAGTGAGTTTTTATGGTCCAAAATAATGATTTTTTACCACATTGTTTATGTTATTTGATAGGCAAATTAAGTTAGTAGAATTTTTTATTTTGTAGGCCTATGTAGGTATACAGTATTTTCATTTTACAGTAGTTTGAAATGATATCAGGGGTGGGGGCACTGGCATGGCCTACTAGACAACAATATATTAAACCACCTTAGCAGGCGTCAATGTTCCTATGCAGTGATATAGTGAACAATATCAAAATAATAGTGAAGTTATACGACTGAATTTAATACACGAAATATTTTAATTTGAAAACATATTTAGGCCATTTGCTGTGTTATGTTGTGGTAGCGAAAATGTTGGCCTATAGGCCTAATTAATACATCAACTGTGATACTTTTATCACTATGGATTGTTTTCAACTTTCGCAGGGACGTATTCAGGGAGGCGCTGCTTCCCTCCTCCCCCCACCCCTTTGTACACAGTTTTAATACAAATTGTTTCCTTAAATCACTCAAACTCTTTAATAGTGATCAACAAAACATAACTTATGAAGTAAACAGATTGGGTCAAATGTCTGTGTAAAAAAAATATATAAGGCAAAAATAAAATTACAGTAATATAACAATATTTTGTTTATTTCAAAATTATTATTTACTTAATGCAGTATCAATAAACACAATACTTTGTAAGATGTTAGTACTATTTGCACTCGTATGTTAATGACACCTTGATATTTTCCACAACAGCAATGTGGGCCAGGATGACAAGATTGAGTGCAATGGGAATAAAGTGATGGATGGCTAGGTAAACTAATCCCAAGGGTACCATTAGACATGTCATTGTCAGTAAAACCTGTTGGAAAACTTTTCCTGAAGATGTCTACACACATACACACATACACACACACACACACACACACAAAAAGGTGAATACAATAGTTCCTACATTACATGCATAGGAACTAAAAATGGAATTAAAAAAAAAAAAAAGTAAAAGTTTTTCTTTATTTTTATTATGCCCACCGCTGCTTTGAAATCTAAAAAAATAAGAATTGCCTATTTCTATAAATTATATAAATTTAAAGGATTTAACTATCCCATTATTACGGTTTTTACATTTACCAATAAAATATTACATTTATTTTCTCCTCCGTCTGGATGTTTTTGGCAAAACTATTTGCTGAATAAGAAAACAAAATTTATTTTTTTCCCCATTCTCCTGACGATTAAAAAAAAAAACATAAGTTCGCAAAGCAAGGTATAAAAGAGTCTCCTCTTACTTACCCCCAAGATATGGAAGAAGTTTTTCAGAGATTTTTCGTGCTACACTAGCATTCATATTATGTAATGAATCATAATGTTGAAACTTATGCAGTCTGCGATGAAACAGCATGAAACTCCTACAACAGAAAAAAGAAAAGTATGAACCAATCTTGGTTTAGGACTAGACTTTTCGGAAATTGTTATTTAATCACACTACTCTCTTAAAACAGAGACCAGCCAATTCTGGCTTATGAGTGAACCTGAACATATTAAAAACATGCAAAATACACAATTTAAAACTTACCGAAACAAAATAGCCAAACATTTCTTAAAATAAAAATTACTTATAAACACATTAGACTGATGTGTGGCGAGGATTTGATTACTAAAATTTAGCTACCCTATAACAGTGGTTGCCATCACTCATAAAAAAAATTTAATTTATCACAAGAGGTTAGATCTGCAAAGGATGGGGTGTTTGAACAACATAATTAAACAAGTGGGATATGATATCATTGTATATTTAGACATTCAGTAAAACAGTGTAATCAATACAGTTCAAGTTTATACACAAACTGCATTTTCTGTCATTAAACGGTATATGTGCAAAGACAAGCCAAACCAGTCACTCGTCGGAAAAATAAATTTTTAGTTATTAATACAGGGTTTAAAAGTAAAATGAGAGCTATAAAATGGTAAAAGAATCATTTAAATCCGACAGTTCGTTATGAAGTTACATGAGTTTAAACATACAGCTGTTTAAAGAACAATATTTGAGGAATCAACCTTCAAAGTTTAAATTGTTGTTTCAACATTGAAAATGAGGAAAATAACAGCATAGCATAATGTATAGATATACAAAGGTTAGTTTAGTGCAATAAAATAGATTTCCAAAATTTTGAAATTCCAGCATTTTTTGGCCATTATATCCAAAACAGGATTTGCGACGAGTGACTGGTTTGGCTTGTCTTTGCCACATATTTTTATAATGCCCTGTTTCATTTGCAATTGGCGCAACATGACCTAAAGAGAGCTACAAATCTCTTCTCTTACATTTCTTCATTAAAGTGGTTACATAACTAGCTGTACCATAAATGGATTTAATGTTAAAATGAATGACAAGTACTCAGTTTACTGTGCAAATTTATGTCTTACAATGATACTACAGTATATCATGTTATGCAAAAATTGAACAGGGCGAAAATCCTTTTTGTACTCCTGTAGCACAATGATCTCTGATGACTCTCCCAGCCAATTCTTTCCCTTAATGCCTAAAATTTTGGCAACAGAGTGAAATATTCAGACACACACAACTTGAGACAACCAGCAACATTAACTTCTCTTAACACATTCCTGTACTATACAGTATAAGGCAAATACTGGTGTTTCATTTATCAACACAGCTCTAAAGACACCATCAACACCATATACAACTAATGAAACACTGGTACAGCACCACTAACTTTCAAACTCTCAACAGTACTGTATACTTTCAGTGGTGGTGCCAGAAACTTGCCGACAAGGGGTCTGATGTGTCCAACGGAGGGGTCTGAACCAAGGGCCCAACAAAGCCTCAGTCGACGGCCTGGAATAAAAAAATGCTTGGTAGGGTTGACGTGGAGAGTTTTTATGGCTTAGTATGGTCCAAAATGTGCTTTTAGTCCAGGCTTGTCCGACGGGGGAAAATTTCCCCCTTCCCATCCCTGCTGGAACCACCACTGAATACCATGTCAGTAAATATTGGTACCGAAGACAGGAGAGCCTTACCAGTGAGTACCGCCAGCTGACCTGGTCTGGTTATCATTAATGAAAGAGAAGACAAGTTCCTTGGTTTTTAATTCAAGAGGTGATAGGAAAACCCCAAGTTCATCATCTACAAATATAAAAATAGAAAATGTAACTGGTAGTTATAATAACTATTGCTATACAATCTATATAGTGGAAGATAAATACTGAAAAGTAATGTACTGTTAAATTTAATAATTGTATAATTTACCAAAGTGTGACACAAATTGAAAAAAAAAAATGTCAATGAGTAATTAATGTTTTACTATAAAAGTCCTTAAATTTGCTGGCAACAAACTAAGGGAATAATCTAGTATGCAAAAGCCTTAGGAATGGCAATATTTAACAGGGTGCCCTTATCTCAAAAAATAATAAATTTATCTGACATTTTAAATGTTCATTTATTGGTAAGGACAAATAAATTTTTTTTTTTTTTTAGTCCCATTGGAATTAAACAGTTCAACTGTGGGATCAAGATTTTAGAATTTCTCTAAAACGCTGGCATACACTAAACTATTAATGTTTTTTTTCTTCAATTTTTGGCGTTACATAGCGTATTCATAACAAGTTGGACATAGCGTTTTAGTAACTTACATAGACGCCATTTTTCTTTTCCTTTCTTTTTTTTATTAAATTGTCAACAATCTTCCCCCTCCTTTTTGTCAGGCCTACATCTATCTCCAGTCTAAGAGGCCACTATCCCAATTGTCGCCTCTGAGCACCCGTTTGTCTGAGGCAGCACAAAATGTGTTTCCTGTTCCTTTGTTCGAGCCACCTAGGTAGAGGTTTGGAAACGTGACAGAGTGGTGTTGGATGGATGACCCTCTAAGATCTTGCACTCGTTTTGCGTGTTCTACCCAGTAGTTCAGTTAAAGTATTATTTAAGCAAAAATTAAAAAAAAAAAAAAAAAATTAAAATAAAATGAAATAAACTTATAGAAGTATAATAACTGAATGCAAAAAAGGCTGTTGCTCTTTGCAAGTGCAAATGGCGCCGCGAGAAGCTCTCTGAGATGGATACGTGTGCCTTACAAGAAAAAAGTGTCCCCTCAATAAGGGTGTCCCCTCTATAGGGGTTGGATGTACTGTAGTGCTAAAAGATAAATTTTCCTCACTTAACGGCCAAAAAAGGTGGGTGTCCCCTAATAGGGAAGTCCAAAAGAAGGGTTCTACTCTATTTATTAATGAAATACTGCACAATTTTAAAGTTTACTTCGATAGTGAATCTCTATCATACAGTAGAATATTGCACACAAAATCCAAAAATAACAATACATGTCATTTTACTCCGACCAATATACTTGATGAATGGATTGGGCTATACTCACCACCAGCAAACTTTATAAACTGAGTGACTTGTGGACTAACAAATGTTGCTTTATTAGCGAAATTGAAAAACTTTTCTTTTTCGAAATATCTGTGGATGAAAAAAACCGATGAAAATATGAATATCAATGAAATTATAAATGCTAAGTGGATAAAATTGGACAAAGTTCAGTGGAGAATCACTCATGATTAAAAATAGTTGTAAAGTTGATACTAACTCCAAGAAAAAATAACACAATCGGTCAGGTGGAACCAGCGAGATGGCAATTTCCCCCTCCCACCATAGCAGTGGCCTGGACTCCCGTTGTCCAATGCCACAACGATATCTTCAGACCAAAATTAATAATTTTCCCATCCAAATAACGTTATTTTGATTACCAATTCCAAATATTATGGCCTAAATCACAATTTGGGCCATAACAACTTTTCCTGTGAAACCTACTAGGTCCCTGACCAAGGCTCTTAGCCTCAGACTTCTCAAGTTAGTAAAATGCATTTCAGTAACCCAGTCTTCAAATATCTGTAGTAAATACAAAATTTCCATAGCCCCAAATAACTTATCTTGATAGTTGTGGAATTTAAAAACAACTGGCCACTTTTTCTTAGTTTTCCCAATAATTTATCAGTAATTTGAATAATATGAATTGTCTAGTGACAATGCAATTAACCAAAGACCCTAATGAAAGAGTAATTTGTTTTGGACTTTAGACCTATCTATTTATTTGTCTAGGCCTATGATAAATTCAGCAGTATTTTTGTTTATTTCTGTATGTCTGTTAGGCCATGTAAAATAAAACAATTGGTTAGCATCTTTATGTTATAAATTTTCATGGTAGGGAGGGAGGTTTTATTTTTTTCTTCGCGTCGAACACGATAAAAGAGTGTTGCAAGGAAAAACAGCAAAAAAAAAAAAGAAGAAATCAACAGAGACCAAAATTACATACAAAAAAATTATGTAATTCATCTATAGCAAGCAGAAACTTTACCTATGAATAACAGTGTCATAATGCAATTATCTCTATATAATTACCCACAATTCACTCCAACACAACAGGCATCCCAGGCATCATGGATGCCATGTGGCTACAATAGGCATAGACCTATAAAATATCAACAGAGAGCATAGAACTGAAAGTGGTCCAGCTAGCATGTGTTTGTTTTGTTAAAAAAAAATTTTTTTTTTTAATCGGGTCGGTGGCATTTTGGATGGTAGGGAGGGATGCTAACCAATTATTTTATTTTACACGGCCTTAGGCAAAATTTCATAGCAACTACAGTAATTCTGTAGTACTTGAGAAGTCTGTCGTCTGCCTCCCCTGTCGGACACCCTGTTGGCTAATTTCTGGAGCCACCACTGGCCCGGGAGTTGGAATTCACTATGGAATTAGGCTCAGGGAGGGGTAATTAGGGGAGGGGGGGTAATCACTGTGATTCAGGCCATTCTAAAAATTAAATCCACTCAGCGGACTCAACAGCATTTAATTAGGCTTGGCCTATATGGGTATAGGCTATACTGATTTTGCTTGCTATAATTCATTATAATGTAGCACGATAAATTATAACATTATTACGTAGTTAGACCATAAACTAATTCCTCTATGGTTAGACTAGGCTTAGGTAGAACTAGACTATAGAAAGGATGGATAGGCCCAGGCCCCGTCCGTACCCTTCCCATCATTTAGTTAGAATCTGAGGCCTAGCTTCTTACTCAAATACGAAGCCCAATACGTTGTCATTCAACCACTGCCCTAGTTGCAGAAGAGACAGATCAGACTGGCGTAAGAGACTGTCGTGGTAGCTTAAAACAATTTGGTAATCATCATTATTGGCTGGAGACGGGTTCACTAAACAAGGTATAACTTAAAGTCTGGCCTGAACAGTCATACCTGTATGCACATACTTGAATCGATCTAATAATGTAATGTTCTTCTTGCAGGCTTGCTTCTGTGGTTTCGAGTGTGCCATGAAGTTCCTCAATTGGGCTGCCCCTTCATTATAACCCCACTCATCGATGAACAATGATTTCTTAGAAAATAATATAGTTATTTATCTATGGTTCAACTCGGACATTACTATAATTATTTAAAATAATAATAAAGAATGATTTCTGCAGAACTATTATAATACATTTTCACATAGGCTGTATTATACCTGTCTCTTATACACATCTAGATGTGTATAAGAGACAGGTCCTTTTCCGATTCTAACCATCAACCCCTACTTCACCTTCACTATAAGTATTTACAATTACTAAAAAAGTGAATGTTTTTATCATATTCTCAGCTCTTTCTAAATTTTTTTTACTTCAGACCAACACAGTTGTTCAAAGCAGGTATGTTGGCAGGTGTATTCACAACAGCTATTATGGCACCCGGTGAAAGAATCAAGTGTTTATTACAAGTAAATTTTTGTTTAAATTACGTTTATGTTGACAAAACATACAGTATTATTAAATGATATCTTAACAAAAATATTATTTCTGTCTCTTATACACATCTTTTTTTTGTTGTGTTGGCCTACAAGGGGTGACTTGCAAAATCAAGTAAAATGTCAGAAATAAGCCCAGTTAAAAACTTTATAGCTGGTGGATTCGGTGGAGTATGTTTGGTGTTTGCTGGCCACCCATTAGATACCATCAAGGTGAGTTACTGAGTGTATTTTTTGTTTGTGGTTGTATGTATTTTCCATGTCTCACTCAGCAGATCTAGGCCTAGGCCTAGGCCTACTTATCTTTGACTTTCTTCACACACAAGGTCATCATGGAACTTTCTAACTGACGGGGACTAGCCGGGTAGAAAAGTTGGGTGGGCCTGCCTAGCTAGGCCTAAAGAGCTAGAGCTGCTATGCTCGTAATGAAATGGAACATAATAAAAATAGATTATTTATTCACGTAAATATCGTTTACTGATTTGTTTACGGTCACGTAAATATATCGGATATCCTCTTCAAAAATTATAATTATATGGTGTAGGCTCCTAGGCCTATCCTAAATTTATTTAATTTAAAAAAAGCAATGATTAGGCTATATCTGCCTTGCCCTTTTGATGGGATGACCAGCTGTTGGATGACTTTAAACATGGCGTTAAAATTTAAAGATTTATTTGTTTAACAGGTACGACTACAAACACAGCCGGCACCAGGGTCTGGCCAGCCCTTGCTCTACACTGGAACGTTTGATTGTGCTAAAAAGATTATAACAAAAGAGGTATGTCTGGTTCAACAATTTACTTTCATCAAATAGGCTGGTGGCCACCAGATTGAAGGCGCTTAAACAATTTTTTCGTAGCCATCATTTGTTACATGGCTAACACGGAATGGCTGTTGCCATGCTGAATTTTGGATTGAAGTGTTTAATAGGTGTTTTATTTTGTATATGGTCAGTTTTTAAAGAAATTATCATACGAAAAGGTAATTTTAATAAAGCATGTATTATCATATTTAGCCAAAAAATATGTTTTTGGTAAAAAAATTTTAGGTAACACAATTAACAAAACAACATTTAATTAATTTTGGGTTGAACCACTGGAAAAGGCATGACATAAAATATTTGGACATTGCATTACGGGCTGGGGGAAATAAAAATCCATGATGTCAATAAATAATGTGTTTATCAATCTATATAATTTCATTCCTGTATAATGCTAGGGTTTCCGAGGTTTATACAAGGGCATGTTTGCACCAATCTTGGGAGTAACACCAATGTATGCTGTGTGCTTCCTTGGTTTTGGAATTGGAAAGAAACTTCAGACCCCAAGTGAACCAAATAACCAGTATTCGTAAGTGTTTTTATTCAGGTTGTGTGTTGTTAGTGTAGGTGCCAAAAATTTTTGATTATGACTAACTGAATAGATATGGACGAGCCAAAAATTTATATAGTATAAGGTAATCAAAATCATTCATTTACTTTTGACGACAATTCTAAAAATAAAAAAGAATACTTTATACAAACCCCACATGGCAGTAGGAGGTTAAATCAGTGGCATATCAAGGGGGATGTGTGAGTGGGTGCATTCCCACTAAAAAATACTCGTATCTCCCAAAAATCAAGTAGTTTAATCATGTTTTTTTGCAAGCTAGCATACCCTCAATAATAGTGTATTTTTATATAGCAAATTATCCATCAAACTCAGCACACTTGATGTGTGGACTTTGGATCAATGACTTACTCCGCCCCTAAGGGTCCTTTTGTGTCTGTGCTACAGTACCCGGTAACCCGTTACCAACAACTCTTGCTGTCCACCACAGGGGCTGTACAACGGGGTATCCCCCTACTTGTCTCGAATGATGCACTAGGTTCTTTAGAGTACACACGTGCCATTGTACTGTATACACTGGGTCTACGGTTTATAGTCCTTTTCCGATTCTAACCATCAACCCCTACTTCACCTTCACTATAAGTATTTACAATTACTAAAAAAGTGAATGTTTTTATCATATTCTCAGCTCTTTCTAAATTTTTTTTACTTCAGACCAACACAGTTGTTCAAAGCAGGTATGTTGGCAGGTGTATTCACAACAGCTATTATGGCACCCGGTGAAAGAATCAAGTGTTTATTACAAGTAAATTTTTGTTTAAATTACGTTTATGTTGACAAAACATACAGTATTATTAAATGATATCTTAACAAAAATATTATTTTTATTATTATTGTTGATTTTTGTTATGAATGATTTTATGAATCATGAATGAGATGTTATGTAGCATAAGTTAATAATCAAGAAATGTTTGATTAGAAAATATACCAGTTGAATGCACTTATGATCACTAAGTTGCTGTTGAGACCAAATCACAAAAAATAATTCTTGTTTTCCGTCAAAGTGTTTATTAAAAAAAAAACTGATGTGTGAGGAATGTTTTATTTCTTATATATTTTTGTGTGTGATGAAAAGTGAGTCAAAAATTTCTCATGTGTACATTTAATGTAAAGCTCTTTCCAGATTATCAAAAAAAACTGTTGTAGGCCCATATATAGACATGATGCACCTATATATGGTCATGATGTGATGTCATCATGACCATATTTAGTTATATCACATTTTTCTTTCAAATACAATCTGATAGTGCTGGGCTGTAAATGTATCACTATTTTGTCAAATGTATTATTATCTGATATGGGAAATATTTAATTTCTTAGATCCAAGCAGCATCTGAAGGTAAGCCAAAATATGCTGGGCCTATGGACTGTGCAAGACAGATTTACCGAGAGGCAGGTCTGTTTAGGGGCATCTACAAAGGCACCGTAGCAACCCTACTAAGAGGTAAGCAGGTGCTTGCGACAGGTGGAAAATGTTTAAGTATACTGTCACCTACGAAAATTCATATATAATATGAATGTCATAGACGATCAATTTGGATCGAAGGTCTAATGTCTGTCCAACAATGTACACAACAAAAAGAATTACAAACTTTTAAATTTAACAAATAAGTAAATCTTTATTTCTAAAATAATAGGTCTTCTTTTAAAACAATAAACAACACAATACAAACATAGAAAACATTAAATATTAAATATCAAATTCGCAACCAATGCTTTTAATTCTAATCATAACATTACTTAGCAATAATTAATTTATAATGAAATATTCGCTATCCAAATCTTAAAGATTATCTTCGTATATACCCATAGCAAATAACTACCAGTTTAATTAATATATTATAACATTATTGGAGTAAATAGTAATGACGAATACTACGTCTCTATTTAATCACTGTTCCCGCTTAAACACGTCTGTCTTGATAATGCGTTGAATATCCACCATCATTCTTGATAGGTAAAACTGATTACGATACTCTACGCTTCATCATTGGTTTCTACTTGAAAAATTCCATACAATAGCACAGTAGCTCCCAAATATTAGGTTGAAA